GTTAGGATTTGCCGTCACTCGGAAAGCTCCGCGCTTCGCCGGCCTACGCGTACCCAGGCGCCGGCCGACTCACGGCAGCAAAACCCGACACACGGACCTTACTTTGCTAACTCAGGCTGTGCCGCGCCGTGTCATAACCGCCGGCCAACTCACAGCAGCAAAACCCGACACACGGACCTTACTTTGCTAACTTAGGCTGCTTCGACCCGTGTAACATCATGTCGCCGGCCGACTCACAGCAGCAAAACCCGACACACGGACCTTACTTTGCTAACTTAGGCTGCTTCGAGCCGTGTAACATCATGTCGCCGGCCGACTCACAGCAGCCAAACCCGACACACGGACCTTACTTTGCTAACTTAGGCTGCTTCGAGCCGTGTAACATCATGTCGCCGGCCGACTCGGCACTTGAGCGCCGGTCGACTCGCCACTCTGCGCCGTCCGACTTGCCACTCTGCGCCGTCCGACTCACCGCGCTGCGCCGGCCGACTCGCCACTTCAGCGCCGGCCGACTCGCAACATCGCCTACTACTACTACTACTACTACTACTACTACTACTACTACTACTACTACTACTGTCTACTACTACTACTGTCTACTACTACTACTACTACTACTACTACTACTACTACTACTATCTACTATCTACTATCTACTATCTACTATCTACTATCTACTATCTACTGTCTACTACTACTACTACTACTACTACTACTACTACTACTACTACTACTACTGCTACAGCTACAGCTACAGCTACAGCTACAACTACAACTACAACTACAGCAGCAACTACAACTACAACTACAGCAGCAGCAACAACACACGTGCAGCCCATTCCATTCGAAGAACAGACCCTTCAGGTCGAAGCCTTTCGACCCTTCAGGTCTTTCAAGGCGAATGATGTATACCTGCCACCAGAGGTCTCACATCTTTGGTACCCTCCGACCACCTGCCATGCCGCGGAGCGGGCAAATCGTGGTATCTTCACCCGCCAGGATCCGACCAGCCGGTGAACGTGAAAGCGCCCAATGGTCAGACCTGGTGGTTCCAGGAGCGCCCGACCGGTCAACCGGTCACCGGCGCCGAGGTTTGGAAGGCGGTGAGGTTCCGGCGGGCATGACCTGAAAGCAGGTGCTTTTTTGAGAAAGATACACCATGGTCGTCATGGAACTGGAAGAAGTTCTTAATATTACATTATATTACCCCATGAACATACTACATGACATTATATGACCCTATAGGTAACTATTGCATACATGGATGGTCTGAGTCTGGAAAGACTTTTGGGGATCATCTCCTGCTCTTCTAGTTGACACATGTTGACATGCAGCTCTGAAGAGAAGGTTCAACCTCCACCCTTGCTGTTTTTCTTTTGGAATGCATGTTCTGCCAATCAAGCTCGTATGTCACGTGGTTCCCCAAGTGTTTCCAAACACGATGCTGCCCCAAAATATCCGCCCAACAAATGTCACCAACACAATGGCAGCTCCGGGTTTCTGCAGGAGAAGGCCTTGGTGCCTGCCTTTGCTCTTCAGGATGACTCGCGGCTTTTCACTCCTCTGGGTTGCTCGGCAGTCGAACGGTCCAGGACGCAGACCTGGAGCGGCGAACAAAAGGCGAAAAACGCTTTGGTTGCTTGTGTTGTACCGAACTGGGTAAACCCCTTTCTGATCAATATATTGATCAAATATCATCAACTATCATCAATAAGTATGTCTTAAAAAAAGCGTGTGTTTTGGTAGGTAGTCCGGGTTCCGTTCCATGAATTCTGTGAATGAATGAAATTAGACACAATCACGTTTTATGGTTATTTTCAATCAAGCACCGTCTGTCTTGTGCGTCTTGTGCCAGTGCCTGCCAACTCGCCCCTGCCGGTCGTCCGAGAAGCAGCCGGTCGTCCGAGACCGACCCTGAAGTCGCCTTCATGCGCCTTCCTGACCTACCATGGAGTTTAACATATGTTCATGGTCAGGTCATCCCAAAGCACCATAGCTTTACTAAGGACTTGACCAAAAACCAGGTCAAACAATGAAACAACACGTCTTGGAAGGCATGACTGTATGACTCGGTTGTGTGATGCAAATCGGGAGATCCTCTTCCACCGGGATCGGTGGGGCGTCGGAGACTTTCGGACGTGAAGGGAGATAGACGCTAGCCTAGTAGTCTAGCCAGCCAGGGCCCCATTCCCTGTCAAATACACACCCAGCCAGGGCTACCAATAGGGTTGTTTCAGTTTTTTTCTTTCTTCGTCCTTCGCAGTCCCAAGGTTCGTGGAGTTCGCAGTCATTGCGACAGGAAGTCGTGAAGTCGCATGTGTCGTGCTGCCGTGGGTGCCGTCCCGTCGTCCGTGCCGTGTTCGTCATGTGCTCAACGGACGAAAACGGTTCGTGAAACCATCGTTGTATCGCGATACAACGATGCTTTCGTTTTCCTCCAGAGATGCTGAACACTCTGGCGTTTTCGAGAACACTCTGTTCAGCCACCCTGGATGGCTGAACATTGAAACTGCACCTCGGACAACAGATGAATCCCCTGTTCCAATTTTTGCAACTTGCTTGCTATCCTCCTTTGTCTTCAACCCCTGCCATGCTCACCTCAGCGGTTGACGGCTTGGCCACCAAGACCGGCAGCTGGCCAAGCACCGGGCGCGCGTTCAGCAGCGCCGCTGCAGGTGATGAGTTCGAAGGCGTCTCCTTCACTCGGTTCCCCATCACCCAAGGCGCTTCGAGAACGAAGCGGTCTCAACGGCGAGGGGCTCTTTCACCTGACAAGTAGAAAGGGATAGAAAGAGAATATGTCTTGAAAGTGAGTTGAATTGGATCCTGACTCAAATATAATTCAAGTGAGTTAAAAGCAACCAGTCCTTCGCTTGAATGGAACATGGTGGTTTGTGTTCATGTTGTCGAACTGAACATGGTGTTGTACGCTTTTTGCCCCTTCAACGCACCTTGTCAATATATGTCAATATGGAGTATCGATTCGAGTGGCAGGTCCCAATCTCCTCAATTCCATGACCGGTTAACAAAGGTTGGATTCCTTTTTCTTTGATCAACACAACAAAGTCAAGAGGCTAATACTTATACAGGGGTATGAGTATCTCATTGACAGAGAGTGTTCGTCACCATCGGCTGGGAGGGGCTATCAATCCACTTAACTCACCCAATCTGTATAATCGGGCAGTTGGAGATGCTTGATGCAGCCTTTGCCATGGTGATAGACTATTGATTGCTATCTTCAATGCTATTGATTACCGGCTGACTCGATTTGTTGGGGGATCGTTCACCGCCACCGCCCACCGCCGCTTCCCGCGGAGGCAGTGCCTATGCGGAGGTGCGCGTGCTGCGCACCGGGCGCACCATGCCCATCTTGGGCTTCGGCGTCCTGGAGGCGAAGACGGAACGGAACGGGTCGACGGGAGGTGTCCGGGAGTCACCAGCTGGGCAGCAGTCACCAGGGCAGGTGTATGTTTCTAAGATTCTTACTAGGCACGCACGAGATGAAAGCTAGAGTGCTATCGCCTTGCACTTGAAGTCTTAATTGTAAGGCCTCATCTTCTGTCTTATAAATGCTTATAAGGCTATAGGGACAAGCCATGTTTTTGGCGCCAAGTGGGACTTTCCCGAACCAAAGGACCCAAGGATCATCCATTCGGAGCAGCTGAACACATCGAGTCTCAGACGATCCGGGCCCTCCGGATGGCGATCTCTGGTCGCCCCGTCCGACCCGTCCGACCCTTTTTGCGCGGATGACGGATCGGCCGGGCCGGTGGCAGTGGGAGGATGACCTGCCTCCGAGAGGTGATGCATGGGAGGTGGAATTTTTCGAAGGAGTTTCTGTTGAACACAAGAGAACAACAGCTGATAGCTCGACATGATGTATACTCAAGAGTAACGGATCCATTGGTCCCATGAAGTCTGAAGGATGTCTTAAGACTTCACTCCTCTGGTATATAGCAACAGCATGCAACAACTCTTTTTCAGGATTCTCGACGACCCACATGCCTATCAATTCGGGTAAGGGATCAAAATAAAAATAAAAATAGAATCAAACAAAAAATATTCAACGGGGATCAAATAAAAAAAAGGTAATCAAGAAAAAAATATTCTAGCCCACTGAGGATGTTTGGGGTAGTAGAGGAGAGTGTACCTCCCCAGGAGCTCCCTCCTAGTAGGGAGCTATTTCCACTGGTGAACCATTTTTCGAGTAGGGCTACTCAATGACTGGACGGCAACCTGATCGTTGGGTACCTACTTTCTTCCCAGGGAGCTGCCTCTAGTAGAAAGCAATCAAGCCTCTATTTGCGCAAGCAGGGGACCAGGAGATCGACAGACGAGCGCCGTAGGAGAGCAAAAGACCAGCGGACCAGGAGACAGAAGGACTAGGATACCAGGGGACCAGCGGACCACAGGACCAGAGGACCAGGAGACCAGAGGACTAGGGGACCAGTGGACTAAAGGACCAAGGGACCAGGGGACCAAAGGACCAGTGGACCAGAGGACCAAGGGACCAAAGGACCAAGGGACCACATTACCAGAGGACCCGCAGACCACAAGGCCAGGAGAGCAGCAGAAGAGGCCTATCAAGGAATATTGTTTTTTGATTCGCTTTTTTTTGATCCTGTTTTTATTTTTTGGGATGCTCTTTTTATTTTTTTGATACCTATGCCTATCAATTCATACCCAGCTTTCCTTGGTTGCCATGCCATGCCATGCCATGCCCTCGTGTTTCTCAGGGCGAGACGAACGTCCGACCTGCACAGCCTCCGCTCTTCGCGAAGCTCGCTATGTCAGGAGAAGGACGGCAAGACCATCCTGGTTCGAATGGCCATCATCGAGGGGCGCACAGCCCGAAAGTTGGAGACTGGGCAGCCAGATGAAGCTCCTGCAGGTGTGATTTTTTGGAGCCTCATAGCTTGGGACGTTTGAAAGAAGTCTCTATCTAGATCCCAATCTATATATATATATATATTTAGAGGTCATCTATAGTAGGTCATCTATCTGCTCTATCTATCCATATAGAGATGAGGGTCTAATCTAGCCTCATGGAGTTTGAAGCCTGTGTCAAAACATTGCCTTTTTCCGCTCATCCGTTAGATCACCAACAATAACTTCGTGCATAGTGCGCAACCACAACCACGACTGCGCGGGCCACAGGCGGAGCCATGCCTGTAAACAGCAACACTTTCAGGACCACAGGCTCGTCCATCCCAGTAAATGTGATGACCTGGGCGCCACGGGCAACTCCTGATTTTTGTCAACGCATCCAAAGGCGTGGCGACACGCAACATGCTTGGAGACGAGCCGTGCTTTCCCAAGAAGCGCATTTCCGCGTTGCCATGTGCAAGGGGCTCTGCTTTGTCACCACAAGACTCCACAAGACCATTGAAAGTTAGGATTCATCACGGTTGGCCCTCGTTGTAATGATGTACTGTACAGGTAAGGAAGCATGCTTCAAAAAGGCAGGTTCTGCTGTTCTAGCTCCCACTTTCACTTCACACAGTGAGCAGGGGAACTTTCACTTCACCATCTTCACCCTTGAGAAGTGGACCGAACGATCAGACGTACGGCGCCTCTATATGGGGGCCTCTATGACTCTATGAGCGTAAACAGCACCGCGACGGTCAGCACCGCGCCGCCCTTCGCCCCGCCCACGCTGAGGATTTGTCGGGACGGCCGGAAGAGGTCCCGGAGCTCCAGCGGAAAGCCACCGGGGAAAAGGAGAAGAAGAGGAGTGCCTCCAAGGCTGGCCCGCCATTGTATCACGTGGTCACTTGCAACTGGTGGATGGAGCAACATGCCTGTGGTTCAGTCAGTGTCGGAACATGTCGTGATGTGAGTTCATGGTGAGTTCTGAAAACCCCACCAGTTTGATCAAAACACTAGTGGATACCTAGCACTTCCAACGGGTGCCCAATGGAGACCTGTAAGTAGGGTAGGGTAGTCTATTGGACACCCATTGGATGATCCTGGTATGTTTGAGCATCGGTAGGGAGTTTGGTTTGCTATTTGTTCAGACACTCAGTCCTTCGTATCGCTCTTTAGTCCTTTGTGCCGATGGTTTTGCAGCAGGTGCCATGAGTGCCATGCCACCAGTATTCCAAGGTCATTAAGTCGTTGTTGTTCAGTCAATTTTGCACTTGATCCGCAAACATGGCCTTCAACGATCACCCAAGGCAACTTTCAGCTGTTGGGGGCCCTATTCGATTCTTCGGTTCGGCTTTCTACATTTGGCCGGTGCAAAGCCCGTTCTGCGTTCGACACGTGCCTCGTCGCATGCATTCTGCCTCGTCACATGCGCCTTGCTAGGACGAGGCAGAGATGCACTTCGATCTCTTTGAAGCAGAGGAGGAGGAGAACATGCCGGAAGACGAGGATCCTTGTCAATTAGGTTTCGCAATGTTTTTTAACAGGTGGATGCCGCATCCTGTTCTCTATACACTGGAAGAGGATGGTTTGAAGGCATATTTTCCCTTTTCACTCGTTTTCACTGCCTTATCAGTTGCCATATACAGTCGTTTTTGGGGGGTTGGACGGTATAATTATTGTGCTTGACGAGGTGCCATTGATGTCAAAGTAGATGCCCCAACTCCTCAATGAATATACTGATGAGAGTGCCTCCTCGATGTGTTCAGACGAAGTATTGTTTGTGTACGCAGAATGGGTGGAACACAATCCAACCGTTCCACAGCAAGCATGGGCACTCAAAAGACCCTATAGTTACAGTATACCTTTCGCACCTTTGGCACCTTACAAAAACATAACTAAAACGAGTTGTTTCAGAGATCTGCTTTCAATGGGAGGCCAGTCAATGACGGCACGGCATGTTACTTTCAACATCAACCCCATGAGACTAAGGAGTCCCCGGTCGACGACGGGCAGAATCAGAACAAGAAGAAAGGCCCCGGGCTCTCCGGACCCGCGCCGATTTTGTCTATGTCCGTCTCAACGTTGGGGTCATCCAGAGAAGATCCTTCAAACTCATGATAAAACCGTGACATGACATCAGCTCAGGAAATCCACTAATTAAGCGTATATATGTAGGAGGACAATGGATGACAGTTCTTGCCGCAAGGATCGGCTGACACGACTGCTGATGTTGAAATGCTGCTTGACCACACCAGCCTTCAGGCTCTTTCGATCAGCACGATCACAGTCACTGGCACCTCATTTTGGTATGACCATAGCCTGGTGAGGTATGAAGGAACGCAAAAAAAGGTGATGCACATGAAAAAAGACACTGTCTCCATGCGGATGTCTCCAGTGGATGGTCTCACAGAGACCCAGCAACGTTGCAACGTCTTTCGGCGGACCACGAGGAGGCGATTCCTTCGAACTTCCGGGTGGTCTTTGGTTTTTCGGGGGGAAAAGGAACAGAAACTCCCAGAAAACCTACCCGAAACAAAGAGTCTTGGTTTTGTTTTGTTGGGGAAAACTCCCACAAACTCAGCTTCCTCAACTTCACTTCGGTACGCAGCCAGATCCACGCGTTCCACCAGTCCACTGTCAACCTCCGCGTGCGGGTCTGGTGTTCGGTCCACCGCCCAGGCTGGGATCATGCGAAGCCCTACGGCGATCGATGGCAGGAGGGAGACGTGATTTGCTGTCAGGTGATGCCCCTTTGGCCTGGATCGGGCGCGACGAACGTCGTTGCATCGCTCGAAGGTCGAACGGAGCGAAGGTCGGACGCGACGAACGTAGCTCCTGGCTAATTACTACTCCCAGAGGCTCCATGGGACTGCCATAGGACTGCCGATCAGGCCAGGGGTGGTGCCAGGGGGGCCTTTCTGGGGCGGCAGTCCTATGGCAGTCCCAGACAGGTCGTGTTTGGGTACGAACGTGGCCAGGTGTCGGACACGGTGGCATCCCGCGGTCCGGACGACGGGACGAGTGGAGCGCCAAGGGCGGCTCCGGCATCGGCATCGGTGTTTTTTGCTTCATTCAAAGGCGTGCGGATGAAAGAGGTCGCAGTATTTCTTTTCGCAAGAGGTGCCACAGTTGAGTCATGTTGAGTCTATCAGCAAATAATTGTGATCAAGGGATGAGTTCTACCAGCAAGGATTTCTTCGAGCCAGGGCCGACGAGTAGCTCCCGCTTTAACCTCGAGCCGACAGGAGCAGAAGTTTGTAAGGAGATTTGGGGACTAAAGATTTCATAACCATCACCACTCAAAGGGTGGTATATAGACCCCCCTGAAGATGTATTTTCCATTCAATAGTATAACCATCCTTTGGGTAGTGCTGGTAAAGATTAGTCCCTTTTGTTCCGGCCAGTTGCAACTGGTTTTGCTTCACTGGAGCTCCAAGCAAAAGACTCTTCATTGACGATTTCCTCAAGAGTCATGAAAGGGAGTGAATACCAAGCACTCCAAACTCCGGTGTGAATCGCCATAATTTGGTCTTGGTTATGTCACACATCCACCAATCCCAAGTGGTGGTGTTCGTAAACCCTCATCTAATTTAAAGTGAACCAAAGTAGCCGGATTGCAGACAAATAGAATCTCTGAAGCCATCCACACATCATCTGAATTGGGAGTTGGACGGCAACTTGCTTCATCTTGCTTCCTCCTTGAGCAGTTCCCACAAAGATTTGTTTGACATCCACATACATCTATCATGCGCTGTTGTGTTGTTGTTTTTTGTATATGTTTGTCTCGTGTCCCAGCTCTACTCCAGTTCACCTACTTCTCCAGTTCTCACATGTTGCCCGAATTCCACCAAAAAAGGGCGGCGCAAGAAGAAATGTCTGCATTGTGTTCTACTCTTCAGATCTTGTTGTTGACTTCTCTTGGGCCTCACTCAGAGCGACGTTTCCACAACTCAGGATGCCCTCGGGTACCATCGCCTTTGGCTTGAATGGTGACTTCCAGGCAGGTCGGCGTCGCGTCACACGTGCACCTGCGCCATGGGAGAACTGCGGAGATGGAGGACAGCGAAGAACTGGGTGGCACGGATGCCGAAGCATGAGAACTCATGGAACGCTTTTGGTTTTTGTTTCGGGTACTGGTGCTATGGCCAGGTGGAGTCCGACGGTTTTGTCACATTTTTTTGGATCCACAGGACAAACGCAGGGCTCCGAGGCAGTTCATGTCTGCACGATGCGCAGTGCTACTGGTATGCAGGAAAGGATGCACCTTGCTGAACCAATGCAGTTCTTTTTTGCTATATGGAGCGTGGGTCCGTGGCAACAAAAAGGATGATCACCCATACTCACCCGCTGCCACATCCAACGCACTTCCAACCTCACCCTCCGCACTTCCAACCTCACCCAGCGCACTTGCGTGTCAATCACTCCGCACTTCAGAACCCGAGGCTCCGATGGGCACGGCCTTTGATCTCCAGCTACCGCCGCTTCGGTTCCGCAAGAGCTCGGTTCCGGGCGGCTCCGGACGTCGGCGGCGGCGGCGGCGGTAGCTCCGTGAGAGAAAGGCACCGGGTCGGTGAGAGTCCCGGACCCCGGAAGCCTGGGCGATGAAGCTGGGCGATGAAGCGTGGATGCTGGTGAGAGTGTGGAGAGTGAGAGTATTTCGTTGGTGCGATGTACATGACCAGGCTGGTCGCAAGCAAAAAGCACATCATGAAACATCATGAACATCATGGACTTCATGAATCAAAGCGCGTCAGAATTCACTGTTCATAGGGTGGGACGCATGTGGTGTCAACAGATTGTTTAACAGATTTTCCAGTGACACCAATTGGTCCTGACGTGGGATGAAGATTTATCACACTACTCAGTCACTCCACTAATGGTATTTTCCATCGGATGACTCGTCCCATCTTAACACACCGGATTAAACAATTCTTTGGGAACAGTCGGTCAACAAGCAAATCACTATGGCCTGCAAACTGACCATCTGTCGTTGGACCCCACTGGTTCCGCCTGGTCGCGCCCGCTTCGTTGACTCTCTCTCCAAGGCCCAACAGTCGACTCTGTTTGGTGGCCTCGGCCGGGGAGAACGGCCGCCTCCGGGTGAACGTGGGTCACTCCGCCGAACGCCGTGGGGCCGTGCGTTTGGGTGTCCGGCTTAGGAGCCAAACCACTGCGCCGAGCCGGGGCGGTGGTTTGGGAGAGGCAGGGGAGGTGGCAGGCGCGGAGAGGCACGAAGTGTGAGGATGGAATGAAGAATTGGTCCCAGGGTTGATTAAAAGCAATCTGGAAGGATCATGAAAGTCGACATGTTGGATCATCATTGCCACCTTTCTGTGAAGACTGTGGACATGTTTTTCTTGTCTCGTTCATTCACTCTCTTTCGCATGTGGATGTTGAAAGGTTGACACTTGGGATTTTGGGATGCGCAGCCACTGAACGATTTGGAGTGTGGGAAGGTCGAACCGTCCCTGAAGGACCTTCCCATCGGAATGGCTGGTCCTTGGCACTTCTGTGACATGTGGGTGGAGTCATGTCCCCTCCAGTCGTACCGAACCGTTGCGTTTCGGTGGGACGACCGGGGCCCGGGTGCCAAGTCACGTCGGGTCCAGTCATACCGAGCCGCTTCGTTCGGTACGACTGGAGGTGTGGAGTGTAGGGGTCTTTAGTCCATGCCCAAAATTTGGAACCACGAAGGTGAGGTGCCAAGAGGGCATTGGGAAGACGAGCGGCCGCTGACCAACCAATTGTCGGTTCTATGGAGGGGTTCACTCGGTGGCTGCAAATCAGGCAGCAGGTGTTTTCTTCCTCCCGCGAAGTGGCAACTCACCACAACTCACCCTAACACCTAAAGCTGATCCCAGACACCCCATGTATGACATATTTACATACATTGGGGTGGTTTCATGGGTCAATGTAGGTAGAGTGTTGCTGCTGCGATCCATTGACCTTTTCGCAACGCCTAGGTCAAGTGGCCTTCTCCTTCCCTCCACCCACGCAGCTGGAGCCACTGTTGCCAGAGATTGAGGATGATGAGGATGAGAAAGAACCCAAAGAAGGCCTGTCCACGGGCCCGAAGAGGGAGCGAACGGCGGAGGGAGCTCGGAGAGTTCCGGGCCTTCAATCCGGTCGGAAGTTGGCTTGGGCAAAGCTCATGTTGGAAAGAAGGGGCCAGGAACACACAGACGTGACACAGTCCCACCAGTCTGACTCTGAAGGTTTTGGACGCTGATCCAGGCAAAAGCAGATCAGCCTTGTTTCTGTGTGGAAAGCGGGGACTACGCTGGGCATGACTTGATTGGAAGCACACCATATGCAATCACTTCGTCATACACAGTGGTCGCCCCTCTAACTCACGAGCAACTGTGTTTGTTTTCGTCAAGCCTCCCAAAACGCACATGGATATGGGATAAAGAAGTATGGTAGGCAGCTGTCACTGTCAGCGCCCATCTCCATGTGGCCAGGTGAGAGTCAAGCAGGGGCTTCACCGAGCAAGGACATGTGCGATGTCGCCAGTCCGTGGAAAGTCAACGAAATGGGTTTATGATGGACACATGATGGACACCAGAAAGCCCAGAAGGGATTTGAGTGAAACAACTGGTATTCTCAGATGGTCAAAGTCCTGTGTCGTAGATCTGGCTAGATGCACTGCAGATGCACGCAGGTCAACATTTCTTTGCTGTTTTGCATCTAGTAGGCGAAGCCGAGTTGGCCAAGCATGTTACTCATCAGGTTCTGACCCATCACAAATTGCATTGGACCAACAGCAATCGTAGGCTTTTTCACTTTGCCAGTATGTAGTGGTCCAGTTCCCCCGCAACCGGAGAGATCTCCGATGTCCAATACAACATGCAAAACGTAAACCGCAGGTTTGCTACGGAGATCGACGTGTCGGTTTCGGCCGGTTTCGGCGGTACTCTTCACATGTTCCGAAGGGTGGTGAGGTGAGGATTTTCTGAAACAGAGAAAGGACGAGAGGGGATCTCATGAGATTTGACTTGAACATGTCAAACTAGGCCACTAGGCAATCCCCAGACTGATTTGGTTCCCTATGTTCACACCCCCTAGTTTGCTTCATTTGAAGCACCAAATGATCCAAGGGGTTTGACAGACCACAAACATCAATGAATCCCAAAAAGCACAAGAAACAAAACAAGGCAAATCAACAGAACACTACAGTATAGCTGGTTGTTTTTGAGCAAACACACACGCACAAAACACATTAAACAACTTATAGATATATAGCTCAAATGAATGAGCATAAGTTTCAGTAACTGACTCGCCGATGAATACTTAGCGCTTGACTTGAGGTGACGGCAAGAATGCTGGGTCAGAGAACCGAATTGTTTGAACACGTGCATTAGCCCTTTACCACGCATTAGCCGCAGCCGTTTAGAATGAATTAAAATCAAGCAAGTCCGGAACAACATCAGGTACATGAACCACCATGAAACAAACCAAGGGACCACAGCAACCAATCAACAGTTGAAACAACAGCATGTACCTTTACACCTCCCTGGTGCGCGGTCTTCATTGGCCAGGACGCGCACCAGGGAGTCCTGGCCCCTGCTGAACGAGTTAAAATACTCTTGGAAACAGAGTTGACACACAGTGTGCCGTATTCCGGCGCTCGGCAGAGCTCAAGTGAGTGAGCAAAAGTGCAGAAACAACGCATTGGACAACTTAAGTCTTACCTAGGCTCACAGAGACTCTCACAGATACATTAGCCCTGTACAGCATTAGCGCCTTAGTGCAGAAACAGCGTATTGGACAGCTTAAGCCTTACTTAGGTTCACAGTCTCTGACGGTTACATTTGCCCTAGACTGTGTTAGTGCTTGAGTGCAGAAACAACGCATTGGACAGCTTATGCCTTCCGTAGGTTCACAAAGTCTCTCACAGACGCGTATTGGACAGCTTAAGCCTTACTTAGGTTCACAGAGTTTCTCACGGATGCATTAGCCCTGTAGTGCATTAGCGCTTTAGTGCAGAAACAACGTATTGGACAGCTTAAGCCTTACTTAGTCTTTCACGGATGCATTGCGTGAATTACTCAGGAACGTGCAGTGGATTACTCAAAAGTGGAGCTCGAGATGAGTGTGAAATTCAGTGAAGAACCTCCGCGTACTCGACAGTAGAATTTCAGCATTCTTTAGTGAAAACTGTTGATCTGGTGTTTGCTGCTTTGAAGTCGGTACCCCGTAGGGATCACGCGGCATACCACTGTGGGAAGATGCTGCTGGTCACACTTACTAGATATATAGCTCAAATGAATGAGCATAAGTTTCAGTAACTGACTCGCCGATGAATACTTAGCGCTTGACTTGAGGTGACGGCAAGAATGCTGGGTCAGAGAACCGAATTGTTTGAACACGTGCATTAGCCCTTTACCACGCATTAGCTGCAGCCGTTTAGAATGAATTAAAATCAAGCAAGTCCGGAACAACATCAGGTACATGAACCACCATGAAACAAACCAAGGGACCACAGCAACCAATCAACAGTTGAAACAACAGCATGTACCTTTACACCTCCCTGGTGCGCGGTCTTCATTGGCCAGGACGCGCGCCAGGGAGTCCTGGCCCGCTGCTGAAAGAGTTATATAACATACTCTTGGAAACAGAGTTGGATGCACACACACACAGCGGCGTGTCCGAAAAATGCACTACCCTGGCCATGTTCGGAGGAACACCATTTGAAGAACCCAATAAGAGTCAAAAAACACTGCACGGCCGCTTCGGTTTGTGCACGTGACTTCTCGTGTTCTCCACGGTCAGCGTTGGGTGTTTCACAGGAGTTGGATCTCTCCAAGCTGAAGCCCATCACGGTCTCGGCCTCCATGGGCTTAGGGGAGCAGATGAACATCCGACCCTTGTGGCAGGCGTGGAGTGGAGGGAGGCCATCGCTACTAGGGTGGAGGACATCGCTATTAGGTTGGAGGCAGGACACTGCTAGGGGGAACCTTCCGCTTGAGTGCAGGGCGGAGGGGTCAGTTTTTGGTACGGACGAGGACGAGGAGTCTGTTTGGCTGAGTAAGGTGCCGTGTTTCATGGTGTCCTGAATTACTGATCATGATCGATCAATTAAGCTAAGCAATATAAAAATACATTCTGTGAATACGAATCCTTTTCCCTTGCAAAACCCGGTGCAAGTCTATCCGAAGATGGTAAGATGGTCTCGTCAGCTTGAAACGGGTCAAGTCCGGTGTTTTCAAAAGTGATGAAAGCTGTACTGGTACCAGCGAAGAAGGCGCCTGTGACTTGAAAAAAGAAGTCTGTAATTTTGCCTCCACTCCGGAGACCTGTTGGAAGGTGCCGGTCGTGGTTTGTTGACTTAGAGACTTGTTTTGCCGATTCAGGGCGGTCAAGACTGGCTTTCGACCCTGCCCTTTTTCTCCGGCAGGGGCCAACGGGGCCAACGGCCTCCGTATCTTCCCGCGTTGGGGATGGCAGAGGAAAGATCATGACCACTTTTTTCCAGCTCTGAGAACACTTAAGTATTTGGAACCACTTGACCTGTAAGTAAGGATGCAGCTATGGCCCCTAAAGCTTTGTCCTGCGACAGAAGTGGCAAGTAACAGATAAAATATATACTACACACAAGCTTGTCCTTTGCCTAGGTTTTTAAACCAATAAGGCCCTTCACAAACTTGGAGCAGCTTGGATCGGCCACAAGCTCATAGATTTATTCAGGTCGACTTGGCTGGACTTGTGGGACATGTTCAGTTCTTTTTGGACCGGCCAGGGCCTTTCTACCCTGGTTCATCCACGCGACCTGAGTATTAACAATGCTAGTTCGAACGCATGTTCTATCCCCTGAGCTCCAGCTTTTGCGCACCGTATTTGGAGCTCCGAGTTTTGGGCAGGTGAAGTTGCCGAAAGCGGTCAAGGCTTGGCCGGTGTATGCCTTGCCCTCTCGAGATTCCCAGGGACGTCGCGCCATGAAGGCTGGACCACACGGGACTCGTTGGACCGCGGTCGTTCTCGGCGGTCCGCGCATGACATGTTGGTGGAGTGGGCGAGGTCTTTGAGTCAGAACTCTTGGAGATGATGAACTAATTTATGTGAAACTAATCATTGTATAAATTGTATATACATGCATACAATATTTATTATATATGAAACGAACATCGTTTCCGTCAATTTTGGATCATTTGCTCACACAATTGATGTCACTTGGAAGCCGCTGTCAGGAATTCTGCCTGTCTCAGTGCCTCAATCGCTCGTTTTTCGATGCGAGGACGGCGAGGTGGTGGAACAGGTGGGCTTGGAGGCCTCTGGCAGTTGGGTCCAACATCAGGCGGCAGATCCACCAGATCGACTTGTTGACCGGACCCAGTCTCGACGGACCGGGCGTTCCAGCCACGACCGGGGGCGGAAGTCTGAGATGGGTTGTAAGTCTCGTGAGTCTCGGGCCACTGCGGTAGGGAAATCACGGCAGCGTTTGAAAGGGATTCGATGGTTTTTTTGGGGGGTGAGATCCCCCCAGAGCATATACGGTTTGTAAATGTTAGTAAGGATTTTGTGGTTGGGTCTTGAAGTATGAGGATGGGCCAGGGCTCTGGATTGGCTGTTATGTTTGACAAAGAGGTCTGAAGTGGTCGGTGCATTGAGAGAACGTTCTTTTTGAACCTTGTTGTATGTAACTAGTGGTCTAGTGTACTAGGTCAAGCTGGAAGACATACAACGGTGCAAGGCTGGTAACTAGATGTAACTAGTATGTTGATTCAATTCTCTAGCTGTGAGATTGCTCATCAGATGCCGAAAACTGAACACGACGCACGTTTGTTATGTTTTGGTTTCCACGGCATCGTTTGATCAGATATGCTCCACGTCCATGCAACAAACAGGGATTCATTTTGGAGATACAACATGATACAACCCAAACATCGACATGAACAGAACCGTGAAGTTGCCACTGGTTCGTCCCTTGCAGTCCACTTCTCCAGAGGTTTGGACATCCGTTCGTTGGAAAAAAGAACCGCCAGGCTGGATGGAGTCCCTGCCGGATGGTCGTGGTGGGTCATGAGCTCCTTGGAGAGAGAAGTATCAGGCGATACTTAAGACTTAGGCGCAGGCGACAGCAGCGAAGACGGCAGGGAGGTGACGGCAATGTTGATTTGAAGATGGGTTGGTGGCAAACTGTTTTCAAAGAAACTGGTGATGGAGATACCAACATTTGTCAAAGAGATATGATATGATGAATATTGCAGGATTGACTTGTTTTTTGAGGGGGCGTGCTGGCGCAAGCTACTCGTGGGCCCTGACCAATCTTTGCTTGATCCATGTGTCCTGCTTTGGCGGTGGTTTCACTACTCTCACACAAATTCCCTGGTAATCCAAATCACGACCAAGAAGAGCGTGGAATGGGTATGATGGGTATGACCACTGGAAATGCTATTTCAGTCATGGGCGTACCTTCATGGGATGTGTCAATGTGTAGTTGTTCAAGTTGAACGGTTCCATTACCAAAAAAACGACCTGTGATGGAAGGGAACATATAGATGCATCCAGTATCCATGGCAGCCTCGATCCTCGATTCTCCTCAGCCTGTTTGGTCACACCTTTTATCAAAGCCTCTTTTCATCGATCAAAAAAACCGAGGAGCAAGCAGAAAGTCCTGAGTCCGAGAGAGTACACGTCTGTTTTCCGAAGATCTTCTCAAACGTTATTTGTTTAATCCCTACAAGAGCAAGTTAGATACTCAAGAGCCAACAAAGCCAACATGACTTGTACTTCTCCAAAATCACCAACTACTGCTTAGACTTGTCTCTTTACTTTGGAGCACACACTGGCCGAGCCAATTCAACACACCGATTCAAGGTATGAAGCCTTGAAACCTACTCCCGCATGGGTGGGCATCGACAAGAAGCCGAAGGCTCGAGTGGTTTGAGGTGGCTTGGGGTTCCTTTTTTTCCCACCGAAGGGACATGTGTTTTTCTCAAAAAGCAATGTCGAAACTGCCAGGGAATTTTAGAGCAACACCTCCTCGAGGTGTTTTACACAGTGTGACACAGCCCTTTTGATCCACTGGTTCCCATGCGTCCGGGAATCGAGTCACGTCCGCAAAGGAATCAAGACCTGCAACCGGTTGGATTCCGATGCCATCACGTGTTTTTGAAACCCACCAGGGTGAGACCGGAGAATTGACAAGTTGAGGGTCCTGTTCTGCACATGTTGCCTGTCAAACTGGTGTAGTTTCCTTTGAGACACATGTTGAGACCAGTTTCGACCTGTTGCTTTCTTCGACTGCCCAGACCACAGGGACATCACCGTGCCGACCGTGCCGCACCGTCGCACCGTGCTGCACGTCGCACGCCGCGTCAGGAGAAGGTGCGAAAGGCCATCAAACGCGTGGTGCACGCGTCCTTTGATACCGAGCAGCCTGGCGAAACCCATCCGAGCGGCCGAGCGACGGTCGTTAAGGGTTTACGCTGACCGCGGTAGACTAGGAGGTCCGACCGTGTCGGACCACTCAGTGTCGAAGAAGAATTTCTGTGTGCAGAAGAACTTTTGAAGCACTCCTGGATTCCGAAGATCTTCCGTGTTTCCCTTTGGCCCGGTTGGGGGCACCATCCTTTGGACTCCTCGCACCAGAAACTGGTGAGTTCCGCGTTGAGTTGAAGGGAGCATGTCCAGTGAGTCAGATCAAACGTGAGGGGATTTCGGGATTTCCCACCCGTTCCCACCTCCTCCATGGGCAGAATGGGCCATGTGTGTTTTCAGAAATTTGTGCGACTCCAACCAGGGTGCCCAAACAAAGAGCAGGTGGACATGTTAAATGTTAACTGTTATGCCATTCCCGTCAGCAGGCTTTCATGTTGGCCATCTCTGAATGGGTTTCCCATGCTTTCCCCAAGTGTTTGACGTGGCTGAGCAAATTCATTTGGGGATTGTAACAGCGGTAGTTCTTCCCGAGATGTTATTCATGCATACTAGTAGCATTCTAGCGATTTGCTAAATATAGACTGCAAATGCTTGCAAACAGTCACGAACACTTCATGTCCATGCAGGGAGTTCTTTTTCAGACGCAAGAAGACATCAACATCTGACGTCAGGTCTCTTCATTTCTTTGCTGTTCCACTTCGATTCACTGCCGGCCCATCCACCTTTGGGGCGAGCGGCTTCGCGCTCGCGGCGGCTTCGCAGCGGGTGCTTCGCTCCCGAGGCTTTGCTCCCAGCATTGCTGGAACTTCCGCGGCTCGGAGGAAGCGCAGTGCAGCAACGGGCCCAATATGCTCCTTGGCGGGGTGAGAGGCAGAGGACGCCGGAAGCTGCAGGAGTGAGTTTCAGGAGGTTCTGGTTTGGTTGGTTGCACTGGTGCATGGCACTTGTTGCCTTGTAGTTGAGTCATGTGAGTCATGGCACTTGTCCATTCAAGCAAAGCAAGGAGACCTTCAAGAACAGATATTGTGTTGTACCAGTGGTGGCTTCAGGACTTGACTTGTGTCCGTGTACCGTCATTATCCATTGTTCAATCAATCATTGCACATTGTAACAGGTTGATGTATAATGGATGCACTAAATTCGGCCAAAGAAAAAGACACGCGGCACGCGCCACGTGTGCATTTGGTTCCAACCTAGCTCAAGCTGGTCCCAGACCCTCAAACCAGTGTCCAATGCTTGAAGTAGCTATACTTGTGCAGCCAGGTCAGTTGACCCGCATCCTCCTTCGCCAATCAGGCTCGTGAGCATGGAGAGTGCTGCCAGCGGCGTCCTTCGATGGTCGGGGACTGAAGATAGGAATCGCGACAGGTTCGTGGCTGTTTGTTGATGTCCTCATCCAGGTTGCCTTTCGAATCTTGAAAGTTAAACGTAAATTCTCATGTGTTGCTTTGAAACAGTAAGAGGTCCACCTGTTTTGGCATGTAGGTTGCTCCATACTATGTGACCACAGAGAGGTCCTCCCACTTTGAAAGCCATTCCAGAGCTTGGTCCCCCTTTCCAGAGCTTTTCTCGATCCCGGACGTGAAACTGAGCGATCTGCGGACCGTCCCGTCTTCACCTACAGGACGGTCCGCTCCGCCTGGAGCTGGTTCCGAGCCGAGTGCCGAGTGCCGAGTCCTGCAGGTGTATCAAGTCCGAGGCAGGCAACAAGGCCATGGAAGTGGGTGTGGTGCCTGCAGACAAGGCAGAAGAAGTCCTTTGGGTTGCAGGGATTGGAACGGCCATTGTTCGGCTCACGAAGTCGCGGCCGGATTGGGCTGATGTTTGACTCACGAAGTCTCAGTAAAGAAGCACATCACTGCAAGCACTTGCAAGCATCATCCACTGGGCCCTGGTTATACTCAAAGTATCCCGATATACTCTTCCAAAGTAAAACCTTTAGTGCGATGTTTGTAGAACCAGATCCAGTTCAACAAGTTGCTTGACCTTTCATTAAAGGCGTTCGAGTGTTGATTTGTTCATGAGATGTCACCCGAGCCTATCTTGCAAGATCTTACATGATCTTACCAAAAGATGAGCAAGAACGTTTCGAATTTATTCTTCGTAGGTCACCCAAACTGCACTGTTTCATGGGGCTTGGCACGTATTCCGCTGAAGAGGATCAACTTACTCCCTGGAATGGAAGTGGACAATGGACCCAGAAGGGTGACCATTGTCTGAATACTAAACAGGTCCATTAGGATTCCAGGCAGTGTAGACAATGGGTGTGTATGAACATAGTGAGACGGCAATCCAATCAATCAAACATTATTAAACCATTGAGGCGCGAATGGTTCGGCCGCTCAGCATGGAAGTGGAGTTCACCCCCTGTTCATGTTCGCGGTCTTCTAGGCACCTAACTTGTCCACGCCGCGCGGTGATGTGTTCGTGCAATGTGTGTCTCAGCACTGTGCTGAGGGCAACTACCTCTTCGAGCAATGTGATTGTGGCGTGAAGTCGACTGGCACGAAGGGTGGAAGCGACAAGAAGGCCTTCGACGTGTATCTCAAGTGCCCTTTTTTGAGGAGCGGATGCTGCCTCTACCGGCGCGACTGAGGTCAGGTTGAGTGGAGGTTCGCATGGTATATATATATATGGCACTCCGTGGGTTGAGTGGATGATGGGGAAGAAGGCAAAGTTGATGTGCCTCCTTGACGGATTTGATCGTTTTTCGGTGATGTGGTTTGCAATGCGTTGAACTCAACAGAGGTCTGGGTATGAAAGCTTACAATGACCCTCAAGTACATGAAGAGTTGGGGACCTATGCTGTTGGGAAGGTGATTTCCTCTAGATATTGAATTTCTCCACAACAGCAAGGGGCACCTCATCTCTCATGTTTGTGATTAGGATTGCATAGCCGGTGACCCTCCTGGTACTGGTAGCTTTTCAGCAAGTTCTTTCACTTTGGAAAAGCTTTGCGCTGGCTTTGTGCTGTCTCCAGGTACATCGAGGTCATTGCAGATTTGGATGCAAGGACCATGAAGGCGATGATGGGCAAAGTCAATCCACTGGTGGACCCCCTGGCCCTGGCTGGGTAGACATGGGTAGACTGCTTCTGAACACCTGGGGGTCGGAACGCCGACTGGTGTCGGTCTGTGAGCCTTAGACGTTTGGTTTCTTCGCACCTTTCACCAAACCATGCTGGTTCTTCTTAATTATATCCCTAGGGCTCCAAGTACCTTCTAAGAAGGTGTTTGGGGTGAGTTTAGAGGGTCCAGTCATACCTTCTGAGGAGGTACTTGGAGCCCTAGGGTATATTAAGATATATCAAGACATATTCCCGGACCCTCCAAGGGGTGTCCAATGGACTACCCCACACTACCGGCCTAGGCTTCCAGACAGGGCACCCCTTGGAGGGTCCTGGTTAAGACTCAGATCCGTCCGCCGAGAGTCGAGCGGCTTCGACGACGCACGACGCGCGACGCGAGGCCCGTGGAGTGGCATCGGTCGAAGACCGAGGTGAAACGTCGCCGGTGAGCTTCGTTCCAGCTAAGCGGGGGGGGTGCGGACAAGGACCCAGAAACTGGGTCTCCCTAAGTCGGCCTCTTCGTGAAGAGGGTGCAGCACACCTCGGCTGGGTGTTTTGGCAGTCTTCTCTTCCTCTTAGAAGCTCGGCCTTCTGCACCAAATCGCCACCGTTCTTGGTGCCAATGACAACAGATATGTGACAAGCGATCGGTCAGGTCATGGTGGGCGACAATCGCGACCAGATGGTCGAGGCATGAGGGACGAGCCGACCTTCGATGTGGCTCCATAGGGAAAGAGCCAAGCAAAACGAGGCCATGTTCTTTTCGGGGGAGCTTGAGAAGCCGAACATCCTGAAGCATCGTGAAGCATTGCAAAAGGACTCCTTATAGCCAAGTTTGATCAAGTTTGAGCCTTGGAGTCTGGAGACTTGTGGACAGGGTTTGAAAGTCTTAAGGTGCTTGGGGGCCTCAGGATATGTTTTCAGGTGAGTGACAATCTACCCTACCTGAAAAAGATCACCCTGTTGCATGTGAAGACCTCCATGTTGTGGCCGGCTTCGCCAACACCTCGTCGGCCTCCTCCCCATGTCGTTTCCAGCTATAGCGGCGGCCGGAGGACTGAAACCGGCCGGCGTTCCAAACACCTGGGAGGTTCGAAGACTAGATGAACATAGACCAGCGACACCATCCAAAACCCTCCAAAACCTCCAGGGGCGTCTTCCTGTCAAAAGCATACACACCGCGACAATATGGCGTGACCTTCGTAGGTCCCATTGATTTGGGCGTGTTTTGGCTGGTGCCACGACCCACACCGCCGACGGGCATGCCCGTGACATGCTCGGAATGTCTCGGGAAGTGAGCCTTCAAGGTGAAGTCCGCTGACATCCCCTTCGAGGAGGACATCAAGTTGGACGCTTGGACAAACCTTCCTTCGCAGCCGCCACGGCTTCGCACGCGGTCGAGGAGATCGACCTTCTTATTTGCCGAACGACGAATGAAGGGCGGGTGATGTTTCCTGGAAATCAAGATCTTCTGAGCGACCAGGGACCACATTCATGAAGCTTAGTGGATTGAGAGTAGATTGGGATTGGCGCCCCAAGTCTTCTAAGAGGTCTGAAAAAAAAACTATAGGGGTCCACGACGAACCCACCAAACTTGGGGTATTTGGTGCCATCGAACCTCTTGAAACCATTGATTCTGAGGATGTCCGTTCTGAAAATCCCATCGGGTCTCTGCTTGGATGTTGAACGAGCTCTCTGCTTGGAAAGTAGGTCGGTGTTGGACCGGGGGGTGCAAAGCATGAGCAATCATGAGCAAAAGGTACTTTGTTTGTTGGCAAGGTTACCCTAAGCGGTTTAGATGGTGGTTATATCATCTTTTATATCATGTTATATCTTCAAGAGAAGAATGGCAAGATATTCTGAGCCTTTCCTGTGATCTGTTGCTCTTGGGCAAATAACTTTACACTTTTACACGTCATCGACCATCCAAGTGTCACCACAGACAGAAGACCCTCTCATTGCCCCCAGCACACTGCCTCTTCAGCATATAGAAAGGAGATTGTTAGTATTCTTCTCATTGACTATGTCTTTTTATTTAATTGGATCTGGGCGATTGAGCTTCATCTCCCCCCAAGACCGACCACGGTTCTAAGCAGAACAGCTTTTTCTGGCCGTGCCACCCGGATGCCAACCCTACCTGACCATACCTGGTGGACCAGTGCTTCACGAGCGAGCGTGGACCAGTGCTTCGGGTCTTGACCCATCCCCCAATCCCAGACACGACCCGTCTGGGACTGCCATGTCGGACTGCCGAGAGTTCCGGCCACGGGTGGTTGAAAGGGGGTCAATTGATCGGCATATTATATGGCAGTCCCAGAGAGCTCGTGTCTGGGAATCATGCCCATGAGAACTTGCTATGAACTGACGAAAACGCTTGGTCTGCAATCGAGCGAACAACGCTTGTGATCAGGCCATCACAGGCTGGAACAACACCAAGTTGCGCTTGGAGCCGCCGACGCGAGACAAGCTTGGGGACAGCCACTGAGCTGCGGAACTGCAGAAACGAAGACTTTTTTGGCCAAGCGAAGAATACAAAAGGGGCACACTGTACGTGGAGTGAGTACTAATTTTTCAGATGAGCACTGTTTTACAAACGACAAGATGAGTTGGGGGGTTATCCAACATAACCAAGCTAAAGCGACCCAATTTCTAAATAACTGATACTCTTATATATGGTTAAGCTCCTACCAGCACAGAGAGCTTTCTACAACACCCATCAGCCCAGTCAGATTGGCCAGACCGCCACATGGGTACCTGTCACCGGGTGTCCGCTCCGAACTTCGGCTCCAATGGGACCCGGCTGCTTACGCAGCGGCGTGGCTTGACCATCCATCGGAGCCGATTCGACCTGCGAGGTGATGAATCTGAAGAGGAGGAGGAGGACGAAGATGGCCTGGTGGTCACCAGCTGTGGCAACGTCGCTGGGATCTGGATAGATCTGTTGTTGTTGTTGTTGTTGTCTTGTGTTATTTTCTTCCGAAAAAAAAAATAACACAGAAGATCACAAGGGTTGAACACTCAACAGTTGTTTATCTCGTTCATTTGAACACTCACGTTTTGCCAGGCATTTCGGCAAAAGGCCCCATTCTGCCCACCCAGCAGCTGTGCTCAAGAGGTATGCCCTATTATATACAATACACCTGTGCTGAACTTTTTGTTGTTTCTTGGGGGCAGCAAGAAGCCCCAGAGATGTGGCCACTGCGAAACAGCCACACGCCACTCCTCTCGGACCATTCCCGGGGGAAGACCGCCGAACGCCGTGGGGACGCCGAGCGCGGCAACCAGGCGGTGCAGGCGAGCACGTGGCACGTGGCGACGATGGTGGTGGATCTGCCAGCCAGTGACCCGAAGCGGACAACCTGGAGAGGAGAGGATGAGATAGGACGACACCTGGAGCTTCCCCAAAGAAAGAGAAGAGCAGGTGGAGAGATCAGCAGAGGTTGGCCCTTCAACAGCCAACAAAAGGAAGCAATTCTGATGGTGAACATATACCTTTCAAAGTTTCCATGTGTTTTGTCGTTGTGAAGTTGGCCCAAATTCCGGAATCAACTCTTGACCTGTTGAGAGCTTCGCAGCGCTTCGCATCTTCCATACTTGACCAATGGCGAGGAGATCGCTGAACCCTCGTGAAAATAGGATGAATTGGGCTACGTCTTCTGCAAGGTTCTTACCAACCAGTACTCCAACCAGTACTCCAACCGGTTCGGTGCTTGGACCCCCCCTCAAAACCCATGGTTTGGTGGTTGGATCCGATCAGCACTTTAAAATAGAGTACTGACATGGATGACATGGATCATATATACCCACATGATCACTCAAAGTATCTATACTAGCTATACTATGGTATCCATGGATACTCACGTCCTTTGATTGGTACATGAGATATTATACTTACATATACATTAATGTATAATCAACTTGATAGACTTATACTATAGTACCATTATAACTATATCAATTATATCCCTAGAAGTCCAAAGACTATATTTTGACCGGCTGAAGTAAAGGAAGTTCCCTTTCAGGTCCCCTAAAGACCATTCTTTTTATAGTCTTTGACTCCCAGGGATATGATACTCATTTAATTTATATAAACATGCATAGACCACTCTAGCTACCTACCAGATGCATTGATCCATCTTGATCCCATGGCGCCCGCAAGACACCCAAGACGTCATCGCTCATCTCATGCTTTACCACACACAACTCACCCGTTCTTTTTGGGAAACGGGTGGATCGGGATTCAAGGCATCGCGCCCGTCTGCCTGGAATCGGTGAGGAGTGCGTATTAGGCCATAACTTGGCCCGGTTTTCTGTTTTTGTTGGCAAACATTCATGTGTTTGGTGATTCACACATCACATGAGGATTGGAGGAAGGCTTTATGGCTTGACAATTGGATGGCTTTGTGTGATTTTTGCTTATATACTCCGAACACGTCACATGGAAGTGGAAGTCATGGCCCTGGGTTTGGAAGACCCTTTTCCTTTACAAAGCAGGTGGTGCCATGTAGTTCCATGTGATGTGTTCTTCGGAGCGGCGCCCAAAATTATGTGATACGAACGAGAACTTTACAAGGAGGCCATCGCTTCTATGGTGGAGGCCATGGCTTCTAGGGTGGAGGCCACTCCTAACCCTGGCGATCCAGGTCTGTCATATATGACTACATGGCCATGTATGACCAGAGAGCGTTCATTCCAATGTAGTGGAATATTGCAGACGTTGAAAAACCAAGTTGTCGAAGTCTATCGAAACCCTCTGAAATCTCAGGATTTTCGCAAGTCGCACTTTCTCCTCCTGCAGGTTGTGTGAAGGCTCATGACAATGCACATGATCCTTTCGATCTATGCTTTGATTGTTGTTAGAGCTCATGATCTCAAAGCCCATGGTAACTGCCAGTAACTGTAATGATCATGATCATCATCCATTTGACACAGCATCTGGGCTTGTGAGTCGGTGTCTTGATGGTGTGAACCGGTCATGCTGCTGGCAGCAGCCCGACGCTGGGCACTTAGTGGATCGTGTGCTGCCAACGCTGATGAATTATGGCTTCTCCAAGTGCGAACCCACCTTGAGCTCAAGGTCGCTTTCAGAAGCTGGAGCCCCTCAACAAGTATGATGGGGCGAAGTCGTTGGATGGTGCGCCCGCCCGTTCACTCTCTTAGTCATCCCAAGATTTTGACCCTGGCTTCCTACATTCTGTATCTTTTTGGCCAAAAGTCAGTATTTGTGATGCTTGGTTTATCTTTCATGGCTAGTGATTTCAACTCTATGGGATTGCACTTGGCATTGCGGGTGTGAAACATGGCAGCTCTGGCAGCCATTTTGTTTCCAGCCTCCGCGCTCATCTCACTTGCAGCCTGGGCGCAGCTGACATGGGAGAGGTCTGCTGGGGTCAGAGAACATAACCACCTCGTTCGTAGATGTTTTAGCAGCAGGGTGGTTGAGAAGATGCAGGTCATGAACGAGTCGAACAGTGGCCAAACTATAACACCGAAAGGGTTTGTTGTGAACACTGCTCAAGTTCTTCTCGCTATAACTAGTGCTGGTTCTCACTGCGAGGACTTGCAAAAGAAGAAGGCTACCTCTGACTTGGGAAGGTTGCTTCTGGAGGAGGTGATTCAATCACATCTTTTGGCCGATGATAAAAGAATTCCTGAACTCAGAGATAGCCAGGAGCGATTGATTCTTGATGAACTAAAGCTGGCCATTATAAGATTGTACATGCACATGTCCAGTTGGTTTCGTACTGCCAAAACCCTGTCTATACAGGAGAAGGCAATCCTGTCACTTGACACTGGAGCGGACACAGCAGAAGCAGTGTGGGACTTGTATATACCTGGAAGGAAATAACTTGCACATATATGCATGGCTGTAGTTTCCATGTATTTTGTGTTTTTGTTTTGTATACATGCGTGGGTCGATGTGCCACACTTCTGTGCCTAGGTCGAGGCAAACTTTCTCTTTCTCTTAAACTTTTATGCAAGCTTCGCCTCGGAAGGGGTGCCCAACCTTGAGGACTTCAAGGCATTTGACATAGACAGTGTCTGCAGTCTAAGTTGATTTGTTGGCTGCAGGTAGTGCTGTATCGTCTTTGCCAACGGTATGGGTTCTTCGCGCCCAAGACCAAGAAAAGAACAATTAAGGACAAAAAGTGCAATTACTTTGCTTTGTGTGGACTGGGGTGGGCCTAGTCCACCACGACAATGTTTGTGTCAGGACTGGGCCAGGACCACAGCTGGACTTATGAGGGCTCTATGTGTGCACGGTTTGCACCTCGCGAACAAATCTGTGTCTAGCAGGTTGGGGTCAAGTGTTCAAGACAAAACAAAGTTGAAACACAAACGTCAAACAACTGCACCATCACAGGAGAAAAAAGGTCCAAATCCTGAAGGAAGTCATTCGCAAGGTCATTGCAGGACATCCCATTGAATCTCTCAAAGCTTTTTGCACAAAGGACTTTTATTTCCAGATATGTATAATCCCCTGATGCTTTCAAAGCTGAGCAGAAGCCCATGGCCGGAATCCTGACGATGTGCTCCAACAGCAAATTCAGAGTGAACTGAACCAGGCTCGGCATTCTGAAATAGATGTTTGTCCGATGCTGTCTATTAATTTTGCCTTGTTGCAGGTGGACCAATCGATGCCTTCTTCTTCGGATACCCAATCTTCTGTAGAGATTGTGGCAGAGGCCATGGGAATTCGCTAGTCTAGGGTCAAAACGATCATGATGGCTGGTCAGGGTGGTGCACCATTAGCTGGAGAGTTTTCGAATGAGGCCCGGCCCATTTTTCTGAAACAGTTTGTCTTGGGAACAATGTGTTAATTTGTATGTAGCTTGTAGGCTTGCTACTTCAAGCAACCTGTTTGAGCTGAACGCAAAGCTGTTTGGAGGTGGAGGCCATCGTGGAAGCACAGGCCATCGTGGATGCTGCAAAAGAAGTGCTGTCAGCCAGCAAAGCGATGATTGACATGGCTGACACTCAGCCATTGGAGGTGTGACTGCCACGGGCCATGCTTCCACATAGGTTGTGTTTCTGTTGTGAGTTTTTGTATTAACAATTTTAGTCCATGCACTTGCCAGGATGGTGATCTGGAGGTTGTTCACCCAGAGCCCATAGAGAGCCGTCGACAAGCTTTGAAGGCATGCGTGCAAAGGGTGCAGTTAGGATTAAGCAATCGAACATGTCACATGTCAGGTGAGGGATCCTTTACTGCCTGGTGCTCCAAAGGTGGATTTGGGCTTGGAGGCCTTTCTTACAGCTCTTTGAGTGCTGGTGTTTCAATTTGCGTCCTGCGATTCACAAATAGGCGTGCACTTTGGCTTGTTCTTGAAGTCAGGCCCAAGTTGAAGAGTTTATCGCACAAGCTGGAGATCCTGCTGACGTTGATACCGTCAAGGCTTTGAGGAAGGCCATTGGGTGGTGGCGTTTGGTCGTGTTGCATGCTACGCAACCTGGTTAACCGATTGATGTGATCTGGGATCTGTGCAAACTTGTGTTATCATGATCATCTGTTGCAGGTCAGGAAAGCTGCACGTGAAGGTGGGGGGGTTGAGCTGACAGCAGCAGAGGCATCGACGCAGAAAGCACGGAAGCCTGGGAGAAGGAGAAAAGCTGATGCAGATCACCAGGAAGGTGTTGTTGAGCCATCAACAAAAAAGGTGAGGGATTCAGCAGCTGGCAACCAAAAGGCAACAGGTGATGGTCAAGATGCATCTGCTGGTGATCATGCCAAGTCAGGCAATGGTTCTGCAGGTGACACTACTGCAGTTGATGGGCCGTGCCAAAAACGCACCAGAGCAGCAACTTCTGCAGAAGATATTCAAACTGCTTGGAGGTTGAAGGACTGATAGGGAGTGTGTGGCCATCCATGCTCTAGAACAACATGTTTAAGTCTGAGCCATTGGATGAAGCATGCCAAATATTTTGACCTACAAAGACATGAAATCTGTCACACTGGACCACTCATATTTGTTGGAGCAGTCGTTACCCCAAGGAGCAAATCTTTACTGAACACGGGATTCCCACAGCTCCAGACTTCAAGGGCAACAGGAAGAGCTACACACTTCGCGCACGGAACGAATCAGCATCGTCTATTGGTGTGCTGTGGGGGTCTTACTTCTTTCGGGTTGAAGAGTGGTCTAGAGACTTATAAAGGCAACCCAAAACAGGTTGAATGGACACAAATGGGGTCACACCAAAAGTGTTGGATTCATTGTTTCATCATGTGCGGTGTAAGGCACATGTTTTTGGGCCCTGTCGGAGTTGGACTCAAAGCTTGCCGGCAGTCAGGTGGTTCAATGAACAGTTCTACATCTATGACACGAAGCACCGATTTGGCGA